ATCATTCTCAAGATTTTGCCCAACAATCATTATTAAAGATTCAAATATCTTTTTATCCATCTCCAACTCAGCCTTTCGTCTTTCGATGACCTCGAATCTGGTACGAATACTTCCCTCATGATATGTTTGATAATAAAATCCCTATCAACTATACATGAACAAACAAGAAGTCTTTTGTACCTAAAAAATGTGGCCACGTATGATATTACACCATTATAGATACAACAATAGCTTTTATCAGATATTATGGGTATTTATTGGACAAGAATATGCTCAATTTTGTCTGCAATATTAAGACATCAATTATATTAGAAGTCTATACAAAGTATTACCGACTGTATATAGATATGAATTACGTATTTTGTAAAAATGAATTTGTTATATTTGTCTTGACAAACTGTTGACACTTTGATAATAATAAGAACAATAAAATATCGAATTTAGATTTTCACGTAAATTTTACTCCAAAACATTTGTACAAATCCGTTACAATTTATTTAATTCCATATTTGATAAATTGAGATTGGCATTTGAAACATTTGGCTAATGTTTGGCTATTGATTCAAGGCTTAGTCAAGTGATTTCCAAAAATTAAAGAACAATTATGTCTATCGTATCATTATATAAAGATGAATTCTTGAGCTGATATTTTGCTATTCACAGAAAGATACAAAATATTATCAATTAAATCTCTTCCTTACTTCTCTATTATAAAATGACTTAATCATCTCGCAACAATCTATTAGATCAAACAGATTTGAATATTAGTAGTTGGTTTATTGTAACTTTCACCTGTAAATATGATCTATAAGTAAAATAATTATTCTAATATATATATATAATATTCATTTATAGATTCAAATAACCTCTCTGAGACTAAATGATGTTCCTGCTGTGGAGTGACCAAATCAGTTGATAATTTCTTAAGAGTGCGTGGTACACAAATTCGCCCATTTGCATCATGTAATCAATGTTCTGAATAGAAAAGAAAGAGTTCAATGAGTAATAGTCTAATTGTTAAACATATAACACAACAACCTACTACAAATAATCCATCTCCTGACAATGATGGTGATGTAGATTTGCTGACAGAACTTGCTCTCGAAGATGAAGAGGTAATATACAAATTAGACAATCTTGAAGAACTTATATATGAACTGGACGATCTTGAGGAACTTGTAGCTCTGCATTTTCAAGATGATGAAGAAAATAACCATACTGATTTTTCAGCGATAATTGAACTAAATCATGAATTTATTGAGAAAACATTATCAAATGAGATGGATCAGAATAAAATCAGTAAAGACAGCTTTCACCATATTATAGATATTTTACTGATTTCAATTGAAGCAGAATCATGATACTATTGGGAAATAAAAAGACTTTATATAAATGTAAATACTAATCAGTCTCGTGGATGTGCAGGAGCTTATCTGTACTGTTCCCAAAGAATTGAATAGCAACATAAACATTCTGAGGATCAACTTGTTAAATGAATTAGTGAAGCCAGACAAGTTGTAGAACAATTTCCATGTCAAGGAAAAATTAAAATAAATATTAATATTCCATTAAGAAGGGTTAAACTATTATTCAAATATTTGATAACTCATGACCGACCAACTTACCGTGATAATAGATTACTTTATGCAGCTATAGATTGGATCAAATTAAATATAAAATATAACTTTCGCAAGATAGAGTTTTACAAACGACTTACAGAGGAGAAACTGATAAATCTATCAGTACATACTTATCATCAAGTATATTATTGGATGCTCAAACTTTCTGCTAGATGGTATATCTTAAATATGAACAATCAAATTATCTTTGTAAAAGACTATATACAAATACTGATATCAATAAATAATAGTTATAAATTAATCTTTCATATTGAGAATGATTTTGTCCGATCTCTGGGATTTATTACTTCTTTTATGAATAAAATTTCAAAGGATAACATTAATGAACTTGTTATCAATTCGACCTTTAAAACAAATCAGGAAAAATTCGAATTATTTGTCTTAGTAATTAATTGTGGCGGGTTTGGAATACCACTTGCTTATTTATATCTTAATACATTTACTGCAACTGAAGATTGACTACAAGATCCTATAAATAATATTAATAGTCGTGTTAAAGTTCTCACTGAATTCTTTCAATTAATTAAAGAAGAGAGAATTCTATCTTCTTTTATTCTTGTTGACAAGGATATAGGGCAAATTGCAGCTGTACAGGAGGCCTGGTCATGGAGAACAAATATTCAGTTATGTCTTTGGCACGTTAAGCATACTATTAAGCATAAGATAAAAGAGAAAAATCCCAAGATCTCGCAATACTCAATTCAAAAAGCAAAGGAAGCTAATGAACAATTTGCTTTTATTGATCATAAGTGGCTTCCCATTGGAAGAAGGAATTCTTTATGTTCTGAAGAAAATACAAAAAAAATTAAAAAGTTAGTAAAGAAGCATTCACTACTTCACCCCCTTGTGCCAATTAATTTAAATATTTTCCATACCTCTGAAGATATATATCGGCAGTGTGTTTTTGAGATGTATCAATATTGTCGACAAAAGGATTTTGCTCACCTATGGGCATATTTATGGACAAATTGGTATGATAAGAAAAACTGGAAGCTTTTTGCTCGGTCATCCTATCCAAGAGCCATGCCTATTGCAAGAACTACAATGATCATTGAATCTCACTGGCGTGTGTTTAAATATAATTACAAGTATAATTATAACAGACCTCGTCTTGATCATTTAAACTATATTATAACTGAACGCTTGGTTCCCAATATGATGAATACCTGGAGAAGATATAGAAATAATTGAGCATTTTCATCTTGGTGGTCAAACTTCAAAAGTGATTAGAAGGAAGATCTTGAAAAGAATATTGAATCGTTAGAAGCCTATCACATAGATACAAACAAATGGATTTGTTCTTGTCCAGCATATCTAAACAGTCCTTACTTGATATGCAAGCACTTGATACAAGCATATACGACTGACCATCCAAACTTCTTTCCTCAATATGCAAATACAATTCGCCATCATGACTATCCGTTTATCTACTTTGGATGCGAGAATCTTCCAAGAATTCATTTAATTAATAATGTATGGAATAATACACAATCGAATTCATCAAACATATCAACAATCATACCTGAAATGTCTGAGGGAAGTATTCGTACCAGATTCGAGGTCATCGAAAGATGAAAGGCTGAGTTGGAGATGGATAAAAAGATATTTGAATCTTTAATAACGATTGTTGGGCAAAATCTTGAGAATGATAATTTCTACAATGAATATAGAAGGCTTAGACAGATCTTAGTAGACGAAACCATGGCTTGTAATGAAGTTTTGAATGCCAGGACGCAACAATCGTCTTGGCAACCACCTAGAAATCGCAAACT